ATCTCATGAGATAATAGCCAAATAAAGTTTTTATGTTTTATTTGGGTAGATAAATTTAAATTTTTTTGGTAAAAGATGGGGGTGGTGAGCACCTAATTATTAGCTTTAATAATAATTATTTTATCATATAATTTTATTACCACCATCGAACGTAAACCCTTTTTTATTCATTACGGGCATACATCGTCACGGGTACACCGTTGGGCGTACACCAAGCCAAACTAATATGTTAAAACAAAAGAGATGTGGGATTAAAGCGAAACAATTAAAACCTCATGGGTGTAGTAAACCTCATGGGGTGTAGTAAAGTCAGTAAAATACATATATTTTTCAATTTAGCCAAAAGATTTGCTACTTCCGCAGGAGTGTGCTATTTATTTACTCCTATAGGTCTAACACACGTTCGGAGTATCTTTTAGATATTGATGCCCGAAGCGATTCCCATGTCGACCCCGTGAACAGCGAATCTTGAGGCCCGAAGCGACTCCCATGTCAACCCCTGTTTCTGCGAATCTTGACGCCCGAAGCGATTCCCATGTTATACTGGTTGGGGGCAAGTCACAGTCACCGCCCGAGGCCGGTCCCCATGTCGACCCGTGCAAATTCCGGGTCGAGTCACACCGTTTTTCTAACCCCTGGCGAAAAGAGTTTGATGCAAAGAGCACTCCGCATCAAAATGGAGCCCCATAAGGGAACAAAAAGACATTGCCAAGCGTGAAGGGAACAAAATATGCAGATCCGGTATTTAGTAGTGTTTTCGTACTACAGTTTATGTAATCAATTGTATGTTTTAAACAATATATTTATATTTATAGTGTCCTACAACATTAAATCGGCCGTAAGTGTTTGTCCGACTTTCCACCGACACTTGACTATACGTGTTTGATAAAGTCATCAATTTTTTCGTACATATCTACACTTTAAATTAAAATGACTGGCTATTTCATAACATACACTTAAAAAAAATAATCTTTTTTTTTTTTTTTAAGTGTTTCCCCTTAAAAAATATAATACTCTTCATAAACCAACTTTTTTTTGAAGTTTTTCTCCTTAAAAAATATAATCTTTTTTTTTTTTAAGTTTTCCTCCTAAAAAATATAATCGTTCTTTTAAAGTTTTTATCCATAAAAAATATAATACTTTTCATAAACCAACCAAGAACCCAAGGGTCCAAGTGGTAGAGTTATTATTTTTTATCATTTTTTAAAAAAATTTTTCTCCTTAAAAAATATAATGTTCTTCATAAACCAACCAAAGCAGGTCTTGAACTCAAGGGTCCAGTGGTAGAGTTGATGTTTAATGTAGATAGGGAGAATTGTTCGATTCCTGGTCGTCAATTAAATTTTTATCAAGCTTTTCTCATTAAAAATGTATAATACTCTTCATAAACCGACCAAAGGAATGAACTAAATACTATCAAATGAAGAGAAAAGTACCTCACGCGCTGGGGATTCGACCAAGGAATGAACTAAATACTAGTTTGCCATTGTCTCAAATGCAAAAGAAGTACGCTATATATAATATCAGTTGGAGATTACATGCCTTGCACATAGGAGCGCAATATGCAATTGCATAAATAATTGCACAAATATGCAATGGAGAATACATAGTAATGCAATCATAATTAATCACAAAAACATGCCATGTAAAAATACATGGGTATGGAATAACCCATCATGTAAATGATCACATGATCCTATTGTAAAAACATTTTGCGTAAATATGCAAAAGAAAATACATAGTAATGCACTAAGAATTTACGTAATTAATCACACTAATATGCAATGTAAAAAAATAATTAATCGCATAAATATACAACGTAAAAACTACCTTGGTATGGAATAAATGATCACATAATCCTACTGTAAAAACATTGCACCTTAGTGAAAGCTAATTTTTTGGTAGTAGAACATACCGGTTTTCTGCCTATTATTACAATTATACCTCTCAATTTTTAATCGCTAAATTTGCCTTTTGGATTTTTTAAAATCCGTTTTTAAGCTTTCAAATTTTCAAAATCTGAAAGTTACATTTTAGTGACACAAAATTTCAGATTTTAAAATCCAAATTTTATTTAAAATTGGTCCTCAACATTTTTAAATTTCAAGAATCCGAAATTTGCTTTACAAATAAATTTTTAGATTTTCAAACCCAAACATTGCATTTTTCTGCCAAGGATCGTCTCATCATCATCATATTCTTTCCCAAATACTTTTCTGCGAAAGGAACGTGTATTTTTGTCAAATTCGAATATTGAAAATCTACAAATTTTTATGAGGAAAAAAAAAACCCACTACTATCTCCCCTACCGAGGATCCAATATTTTTATTTAGTTTAGATCATTTATTTCAAATCTTCAAGATCTTAAAGCAAAAAGAGCGATAAGACTAAAAATCAACAAAAGGGAATAAGGAAAGCAAAGAGGAGAAACGGTTTTTACGGTTTCTTACACGTGATAGAAAAATAGAGCTTAGCCATGGTGGCAATAAACACAAGTTGAATATCAACTAAGATTAAAGTTATAGAAAATAAAATATTTAACAACATTCCAAAACTAATTTTAGGAGAAAAGATGTCTCCCTCTTCAAAAGGTCTCTCTCCCCCCTTAAAGGTGAGAATGTATACTACAACCTCTATAAAGTTAGTATCCCTTTTTATTTTCGCGACATGTATCTAGCCCTTAAATCTAGCTTAATATTGTAGTATATATAACGCTGACTTAATAATGTAATACTTTAAAGATAATGAGGACATCTCATGACTTTGCATGAACAGTATGTGAGTCTATAATGGCAGAATTTGCATACAGTTAAGCACAATCAAGAGAATATCAAAGCTCAATTTTGCTTCCATGTAGGTTACGACTTTTCATGGTCCATCCTCGAATTTCAATTTTACTTTTATGTAGGTTTCTACTTTTCATAGTAGATCCTCGTCCAGCTTCTGCTGTTACTTGTTCAGTGACTTTGTCTATGAGTGGATATCACCTGCCACTTGATTGAGACTCCATTAATATGCCTCTCAGTTGAGTACTTGCTAAGGCTCAAAGCCTCTAGTTTGACCTCTGTTTAGATTTCAGTCAAAAACAATATATTGCCAATTGGTTGGTCATTTTCCTAGGACAACCTTGAGCACCTTTCTAAAGGATTTGCAGCTATTACAAAGTGTTTGAACGGTAAAGGGATATTTTTTCTATTTCATGGATAATCGAGCTTTCATAGTTTTGATCTGTGTTTGAAAAAACAGATCGGCTGTCCAGAAAGTAGGTCTACATCGATGATCCAAATCAGCAATCTGGCTGAGAGAATTGGCCAATAAAAAATTAATAATAAAATGTTAAAAATAATAAAATATAAAAGGTGGGGCTGGATCAGCCACTTCCTCGACAGAACTGGTCAATTTCTAACAAGAACAATTTGGCTCCCGCTATATCAAAGAAACAGGACTAGTCCCACTTGTTCCTAGAAAGAATTGGACGATTCTGATCCAACCAAGTATTTTCTTAAAACTCTTGTTTTGACCATTGTAGCGCTTACTTTGCACTTGGCTAGAATATCCTTGATTGCCAGTGAAATTCTCAGTCTGCTACCTCCAAATTTGTGAAGAGCTTAGATGATCTACTGCGGTTGTCTTAGAAAAGCAAAGTTTTGCTGTAGTTAAACCAGTGGATGCACATGCTCACTACAGTTACAAGGCATATTTGCCATGGTTAAATATTGCATTTAAGGTTTTAAAGACCCTAAAGCCAAGAACATACATGATGCTCTTACTAAGAAATTAGACAAACCTAACCTTTTAAAAAGGAAAAAGTTTATATAGAGCAGAGGCTCTAAACAATCAAATTCGAGCTCACCTCAAAAATTTGATTAGAAGAGGTTGTTTTGCTGCTCAAATATTCTCAAATTGACCATCTCGACATCAAGACATACGGACATGAGAAAAAAATGGATTTCAAGTAAGACTATCAATTTTCAAGATTTTCAAGTTTTTATAGATACGTTTAATTTACACTATTTTTGAAATTTTAAATTTTATAATTAAATATGAAAATATATTTTAAGGCTATCACAAAAAATTTCAGTATTGAAACCACATTTCTCGACACTATTTTGAAGGTGGGCTCTAACTTGATTGTTTAGAGCCTCAGCTCCATTCAAACCGTACCCTTTAAAAAATATAGATTCAAAATAAGTAGTTAATAAATAATTTTTTTCTAAATTTTAATTTATTTATAAAATCTTTTATTGCTCATATTTGATTTTTCCTTGTTTTATGGTTGAGAAATCACAACGCATGTCTAATGGCCAAAAACTTAATCTCAATTTTTATTTTCATTTATCTAAATTTTGGGGTGCAGATTTATTTTTATAAAGATAGCTAAATAAAAATTATTAAAAAACATGTTAAATAAAAATAACCAAAACACTGTAAATTCATTTTTATCAATATTTTTTATTCTGAAATTGGGGAAGCTAGGAAGAAATGTAAAGATCGAGAATTGTTGAAACTAACATAATCGAAGATCAATCAGCCAAAATAACCATGAGGAGCAACAATATTACAGGTTTCTTCCTCTTGACCAAAAGGTCAAGAATGGCTTAAACATTTTATATTTAATTTTTCATAATTGATAATGAGATGAGATTTGGGGCTTGTCATCTCTTACTGAACAACTAACAAAACCAAAAAGCAAAAAAACATTTTTGTTAAAAAAAAAATGACCAATATACCTATATAACTTGTAAAAATATTTTTGTGATTTTAATTCATTAAAAATATTTGTTTAGTTTTGTTGAGTGCTTCACAAACTAAACGAGTAGTAAAGTGGACATGGCTCAATTTGATGTAAAGATAATTTTAAAAAAATTGGAAATAAGGATCCCATGACCGCATTTTACCACTTCATAAATATTTCTATTTTATTTTCAGTTGAGAAAACTCCCATTTTCTTCAATTACAAACAAACAACATTTTCAGTGGGGAATATCCAAAACATCAGAGACAGGCAAAGCTAAAGCAGCACCATGTTCATTGATAGAAATTGAAAATCCAATTAAAAGGCAGAGAGAACAAAACACTAAAGAAAAGACCATATACATTGATAGAATTAAAATCCCTATTAAAGCATCAGGCTTTTACTTTCTTAGTGACTGGCCTCCTTGCTCTGATAGACTTGGGGGACTTTTTTGGTGTCAAAACCTTTAAAGAATTTGGGGACTTCACCTGGCTCAAACGCTTCGACTTAGCGCCCTTCTTCTTCTCCAACCCCCACTCTTCCTCCTTCTCCAACCCCCACTCTTCATCCTTTGCTAAATTTGGGGAAGCTCTAGATTTGGAAGCTTCAGTTATCTTGAGATTCTTTGCTTTCACCACGGCCTTGGCAGAAGGGGCTAACTTGTATGAGTTTTTGACCCTTGTTAATTTCTCAGACTTCTGCAGCTTCTTCAACTGAAGAGAGAGCATCTTCTTGAAGTTTGGGGGCAAACCCCCACCATATTCGGCTTGGATGAAGTTGGCGATGGCTTGCGAGCTTGATCCAGTTCGCTCTTTCAATGCAACAATGGCCTCCATCACCATCTAAAGCAAAACCAACTTATTACAAGAGCTCTGATCACTTGACAGTTGAGATAGAAGTACGAGAGCAAGAGAGAGACAGACAGAAGTGAGCAAGCAAGAGAGGCAAAGAGAAGTGAGAGATAGAGATAGAGAGATGCAGAGAAGTAGCAGAGGAAAACAGAGAGAGAGAGAGAGAGGTGTGTGTGAGTGTGTGTTTGTAGAGAGAGAGTGGGGGGTAAAAAGAGGGGAGGAAAGAGAGGGAGACAAGCTCAAATAAGTAAGAGAAATGGACATGAGAGAGGGGAGAGAGGGGTGGGAGCAGTCTTTCGAAAATAGAACTGGCATTAAAAACTGGTCAAGGGCCGGGTCTCTAATCTTCAAGCCGGCTGATTCCAACGTCCAAACCGTGTAGGTCCCAGCCGGTTCAAAAAGTATAAAAAAAAAATTAAAAAGAACATAAAAAAAACAAGCTTTCTATGCTTCCATAGAGCATAAAACTCATTATATATTTCTTTTTATCCAACCATCCGTTCTGAAGGGAAGGTTAAGATTATCCCAATCACAATCTCACGTCTCTACATTATTTTATTTTTGATTTTTTTTTCTTATAAACTACCGATCCTATGTTAGACTAGCACAAGTGAAAAAATAAAAAAGTAATATTTTTAATAAAATAAGATGACCATAATACCTTTGAAAGATTCAAAAGGTATTTTGGTCATTATATTTTATCGAAAATTTATTTTAAACATTTTTTTTTTTGATGGGTGCATCCTATTGAGCAGGCACATACCAAATTACATATTCATACAACGTGTATAAAAAATTAAAAATAAAATACTTTGAAACATCATATCTAAGATCAAACAATGAGTGGCCATCTTGATCAAAATTGAATGGCTGGATGATGGGGAAAGTATAGATTTTCTATACTGTAGAAGAAGTATAAAAACCATCCCCATATCAAATATATATATATATTTAAAGCGTATGACTAAATAAAGCACATCCCAATAATGTTAAAAAATAATAAAAAATAAAATAATAATAATGATAGATTTCAAAAAATCAATTTGTACCTATAGGGATTTCCAAAAACTTTCATTAAAGATGGAAAAATATAAAAAATAAGTATTTAAAGCCAAAACGCTTCGTAATATTTGTCAAAATATTAAAAAAACATTCAAAAATATATTACACACAAATCCTTTATTTTTTTGAAATTCTATATATATTTTTTCAAATACTATCACTAAAACAGGACAAAACCATATCGAGCAGTGGCCCGGTTCCAATTTGACCAGCGAATTCCAAGTTGAACCGGCAGGAGAGAGAGATAAAAAGGGACGTAGACCCAGAAAAGTAGAGAAAGAAAAAACCTGTAAATAAGGAGGATGAGAAGGAGGAGAGGTTTTTGCAGGAGCCTTGCGTTCCTTCTCCGCAGCGACCTTGGGCTTGGGCTTGGGCTTGGCAACGGTGCCCAACCGCTGGGGTTTCGCCATTTGTTGAGGACCACAGCAACACTAAACACCAAAATAGGAAGCCAAACAAAAAGACCAAAAAAACTAAGAAGCGCACAAATGCTTTTGCAACCTCGAACTTGGAAGTCTAATTTATATGTTTATGAGAAGTAGTGGGCGTCAAAATGAGAAACGGTTATTGATACGTGGCCAATTCTGATTGGAAATTTCTTGAATTCATGGATTTAAATTTTCAAGGGTCTTGTGACCCTTGATTTGATGGAGATCCGACGGTCTGCCTTTATTTTCCTTAGCCTTCTTCTTTGTATGCTAGAGTGGTTTTTCTCTTCCAAGTAAAGATAGAAGAAAAGCACACTTTATAATTGAAATAAGTGTTCGCAAAATTGAATTGGAATGGTTAACTGGATATGGGTTTGGACGCAGTTTAACCGGCTTAACCAGTAAACCGGCAGATTCAACCTTTCTAATCGAACAAGTCCTAAGCGATCAAAAAGGTATTAAAAAAATTTTTAAAAAAAATACAAAAAAAATCTAGTAAAATATATAAAACATATAAAGAATGATTAAAACAAAACATATTCAAATGAAGTTGAAAATTAATGAAAAAAATAGATTTTAACTCATTTTATATTTTCCAATAACTATTTAAAAAAAAAATTAAAAATAAAAATACATAAAAGTGAGAATTAATGACCACAAATTTTTTTAATCTTTACCATAATGTCAAGAATATTTAAAAATGCGTTACACATCAACTTCCTTATTTTTTAGAATTTATATACATTGTTTTGAAATTTATTTTTTAAAAATTACCAGCTATCACCCTAACTGCCCAAAACCAGAACTGGCCACTAACCGGTTCCGATCTAACTGGGCGGTTAGCGGTTAGATTGGGCGATTTTGTGAACAATGATTAAAATTGATAGGTAGTTAAACACACATGGTAACTCATATAAGATGGCACAAATTCTACCTTGACCCATTTTATTAATAAGTATTAGGGAAGGCAATGGGCCGAAACTCCGGTCCTATTCCCTTGAGGGCCGAGCCTAGTAAAATTAAATAAAAATAAAAAATAAACATTAGGCGGGGCTGGGTTTGGGTCAGCCTATCTTGGCATGACCCAAGCCCAACCATCAAGCTACATTGCCCTAATTTTCTATGGCCAGGCTAGCCAACCGACCCATTGCCACCCCTAATAAGTTCATGGATTTATGGAGAGCTTGTCAATTTCCATATATTGATTGACTATGTTTACTCCAAATGGATTTTAGTTTGGAAGAGTTTATGATGATAATGTTAAAGAATAATAGTAAGGGACGGGTTTCTCTTGATAAGGGTAGGTATGAAATTTAGGAGAAATTTTGCTTTTGTCATGAGAAAACACAAAATAAGGTAAGAATTGGGCTTGGTTTAAGGCGGTTGTAGTTGAGTTTCATAACACTATGTCCCAAGTTCCACTCCTATATAAATTTGTCAAAAAAAAATACAAAATAAGGTACTTAGTCAGAAAAAGAAATGAAGAAAGGTATTGTATACAATGAGACCAAGTTACCTTAGATACAAAATGAAGAAAGGGATGGTAATGAAACCAAATTGCCTTTGTTACAAGATGGTCACAATTACTTACAACCATCCAATGTGAAATTTGATAGTTACAAGATTGTCACAATTACTTACAACCATCCTATGTGAAATTTGATAGTTACAAGATGGTCACAATTACTTACAACCATCCTATGTGAAATTTGATAGTTTAGGTGTATTACAAAATTTGAGAAATTTATTTTTTAGTTTGAGCTTGGTCAATGAAATAAATTCAGCCACTCAATTTCACATCCAATAGTCGAGATTAATTTGTTGAGTTGTGCAATGTGATATGATATTTAAAAAAGACACTTCGCATCCATGCTAGATATTCTTGACAAGATGGTCAGGATTACTTACAACCATCCAATGTGAAATTTGATAGTTTGGACGTGTCACAAAATTTGAGATATTTGTTTTGAAGTTTGAGCTTGGTCGATGAAATAAATACAACCACTCAATTTCACATCGAATAGTCGAGATTAATTTGTTGGGATGTACAATGTGATATGATATTTGGAAAAGACACACCTCGCACCCATGCTAGATATTCCTGACAAGATTGTCACGATTACTTACAACCATCCAATGTGAAATTTGATAGTTTGGGTGTGTCACAAAATTTGAAAAAAAAAAATTTTTAGTTTGAGCTTGATCAATGAAATAAATACAGCCACTTAATTTCACATCCAATAGTCGAGATTAATTTGTTGGGCTATACAATGCGATATGATATTTGAAAAAGACACACCTCGAACCCATGCCAGATATTCCTGCTAACAGATAGCCTCGTAAGCGGTGGCACGGTGATCCCATGGTACTCTCACTGTCCAAGGGTAATTTTGGCCAAATAAAAAAGTCAATTTTATGGGGTATTTAAAAGTTAATTGTAGGGATAAGAGAGAGTGAGAGAGAGGGCATAAGGTTTGGGGTTTTTGAAAGGTGTGAAGAAAAGTTCTCGTAGAATGTGGAAGTTTCGGGGAAAATAGAGATTGAAAGTTTTTGGCAAACTCTGGCTTCTTTATGTCTAATATTGAATAAGATTTCATTAACCTTTCTTCGCAGCAATGGTGTCAGTCGACAGTGATGAAGAAGGAAGTTGACTGCTGGTTTTTCTACAGCATGGAAAGTTCATTTTAAGTTTTTTATCTACCATTGTAGAATAATCTCTACCTACCCCAAAACTTGTAACTTTTCTATTGATAGTGAATAATTTTTTTACATATTACTTATAACTGTAGCCTTATTTTAGGTGAACCATATATACTTGTATTAGACGTTGTTTGGAGTATGGTTTGTGATGCGTGGTTGTGTCATTGGACTTCGGATGTTATCTTCTCTTGAGTTTATTTTATTTTACTTCCTATGCGTGGTTGCGTCATTGGACTGCCAGTGAGAAGGTAGTTAGTTTTGAGGCTGTAAATTGTTGAAGTGGGGTGGTCTTGGGTCCCAATAGTGAATGGCCTTACTATGGAATTATTATTATTTTTTGAACGCTAACACAACCTTTCCATTAAATCAAAAAAGAGATACGGGAGGCAAGATATACATGAAATAAAGAAGAGGAAGTTTAGAAGCAAGGATTTTGGTCCCTCGTTTGACCGAGCACAGTAATTATGTAGTTGCAGTTTTAAAAAGAATATATAAGACTTTAAAAATAAAATATATATTGTCTACCAGGTTAATATGGAAAGTATATATTGCAATCTATATACATAAAAAGAGTAGGTACAATATCCTGCATTTTATAGTAAGTCTAGATATAGTTTAGATGTATATGATTTTTTTAAAATTTTTTTTTACCCCCCACTGTGCGATTTACTTTGTTGTTCAAACTCCAATACAAATGGAATAAAAAGACACACAAAGATAAAACGGCATAGAGCGACCCAAAAAGAACAAGAACAGTAGATGGAGACTCAGAAAGAAGATGCACCATTTGAGTAAAGAAGAAACTCGTCTTGCATCTTGCTTGAGAAGATCGGCGACAATGCTATAGTTCCGAACGATAAATGGACAGGACGAACTGGCTCTAATACAATGTGAAGAGTCACGGGTTTTTATGAATAGATTCAATATCTATTGATCGTATGAATGTAAAGACTTCTCTAGATAAATTACAAATGAGAAAAAATAGAACTAGATCACAAGCACCTAAACTATACCCAAACTTACCATAAAATACAGGATATTGTACCTACCTTTCTCATGTATATTGATTATAATATATACCTTCCATATTAACCTGATAGACAATATATACTTTCTTTTCACAAAGACTATTAACCTTTGGAGCAAAGACACAATTAACATTGGCCATTGGATAGGAAATCGGGCAACTATAATGTCCCATTGACCGGGCTAGAAATTCAAAGGTTAAAACTTCGATACAAATTCCATGTTATTGTATCTCACAAAAATTGGTGAGTGTAGTCTTCTATTGCCCATAGATATTGCACAGAGACGACCATACTTTTAAGATTAAAAATAGGCCCGTAGTTAGATTGGATACATTGGTACATGCATTGGGGAGGAAATCTCTTACAGTCCTGGGGAAATATTTATGATACCATGGTAGTTAGAAAACTGGGAAATATCAAACCAAGAAGACAATGCTAAATCTATTTTGGTTCAAAAAGTTGAAGCCAAAAAATAATGGCAAAAATGCGGATTACCAAAAATTATGTAGGTTAAAAATCATGATTTTTCAAATGTCTTTCCTCTACCATCATGGGCACAAAATATGCAATGATTTATTGGAAGCATAAATTGAAACAACCTAACCACTAAAAAAGCAAGAAAAATAACCTATGGTATAGGATTATTATAAGTGGGGAACGATTGTTACCTCCATGTACAAAAGATAAATGGTGTTTTTATGAATCATCCCTTAATAATAAAGAAAAAGTTATTTAATATATCAACATTATACCGTACAAATAAGATGTACCTAAAAAAACCCACTACAAAAGGATCTTCCTAAACTGGAAAACCCTCAAATCAATGAACTCGACCTCAAGATTCATAGACATAAAAAACGGATTTCTAATCCTAAAAATAGTTCATCTTCTGACACATTATTTGGACTGTTCATTTTCAAGATTTTCAAGTTTTTATAGATCCGCTTGATCTTCACCATTTGTGAAACTTTAAATTTCATAAATGGGGGGAAACAATGAATTTTTATATCATTATAAGGCTTTGCAACACCGAAACTGCTCATTTGACATAGTTTTGAGGTACACCTTACTTCAATAGATTAAGGTTTACACCTTGTACAAACCTCACCTTAATAATAAAGATAACTAGTCTCATTATATATAATCCGTATTTTAAAGATCTTGCAATATTTCATAATTTTCAATAGATTTTTTTGGTGAAATTTTTTATGGATTTCAAAAGAAAAATAGTTGGATAGGGCTACAGCCCTATCATGGCCTCAACCCCAGGCTCAGCCCTCCCTACATGCGGGCCATACGGCCCT